CTGTACTGAGGGGAGCAGTCACCATCGATAGCTTCCACGCGTAAGATGCGGTCATACAGCTTCCCCTCTGTCACTGCAGCACGGTACAGACGCTCCACAAACACTGGGGCAAACTCATTCACATCGTTGACACGAACGTGCACGGTTGCCCTGCACCCATAGGAACAGAATGGACATGGAACATTAGGCGGCTGCAAACACTGAGAAAAATGCGATCAGGCATCCAGGTGGGGACGGAGAGGAGGGGGGCCAGTCTACCCTTGAGACTGCTCATGCCCACTCCACAGGGCACTAAACTGTGCTAAAGTCATAACAATCATAAAACCTCACAAGGGAGAGGGCCCAAGGAAGAGGGCCAACGACATGAGGAAGGAACAAGCCCTAGAGAACCTCAGAGCCATCTTGGTGACTTCTGTCCAGAAGGCTGTATAGAATGAGGAAGAAGAGGATAGGTTCTGCACACATCTAGTCCCTTCCAGATGTCTGTTCCCGCCTCTCAGCACATGCCATAACTTACACCGCGCTGAGTGCAGTTGGGGAGCCCTCATTAGGAGGCCAAGGTGAAGGGAGTGGCAAAAAATTAAAACTACACAAATTCAGCCAGTCCCTGGCTTAATAAAGTCAAATCTTACAGAAGAAATGAGAAAGACATAGACTTAAAAAAACAAGTTAAAACCCGCCATCAGGGAAGCGGCATTTGACTGGAAGCCAAAAGTTGTCTGATACATCTGAGTAGTTCACCTGTCTAATTGTGTCTCAGCTACGGCCCTTCCTGACTCACACACCTTCCCAAGCAAACAGAGCTAGGTCTAGGACCTTCATTCTGTGCCCTGCCACTGGCCAAGAGCCAGAATCCCAGGCTCAGAGGAGAAGGTCTTGTCTCTAAATGGAAAACTAAGTCACAAAGACCCTTCTAACCTCTGATGCTCTCAGTAACCCAGGGCTCCTCATTACTGATCCGTCTTCCATTGCCAAGTGAGGAATTAGCTGGTGACAGATGGAAGAGCCAATCCTCTTCCATCCCTCCCCTCCCTGGCCCCTCCCAGCTGTGTGTATGTAACAAGCCTGATATATGCTGTGTGCTGTGAGTGGAAGGGATCTGGCCGTGTGTGGAATGTGTTTGTCTCTTCCTCATTGTCCTGCGGTCACCACGAAGCCAATGTGCTGTGCAGCAGGTGCAGAGAGACACACTTTTCATACAGACCACCTCCTGTAAGCGTCCTAGCAATACCTCTGCCTCACAGACAAGGAGAAGCAAGTCCAGAAAGTCAGAGTACATTGTCCAGCGTACCCTCCTGTATACTTGTGACGTTGACCAGAGATCCCTAAACTCTATGAATAGCAGGGGTGGGGTGACATTCAGCCAGTATGATCAGGGACCAAGAGAGCCTTAATATTATTATGCTAGAACAAACAATCATCAGTTGACACAGGAATAAAGAGGACATTATTACTCATTTTTGGTAGTAACTTTGAAATACTAAATTTGGGTCTGGAGACATAGCCCATTGGTAGAGGGCTTCCTTGGCACAGGTACGGTTGTGAGTTCCATCCCCAGGTTCAGGTTGGTCTATCCTCTGCTAACAAGAGACTGAAGGGACTGAACTTGCCCGACTAAGCATCACAGTCTCTGAGAGACCATTGCTGAAGGAGGGAGAAGGGTTCCATGACAAACAGGCATGAGATAGGCTTCCCTCACTTGTGAGACTTCTTGGTGTTGGTGCCATCCGGCCCCTCGCCACAGTCATAAGCCTGGATGGTAAAGGTGTGTTCCTTCTGGGCCTCACAGTCCACAGGCTCCTTGGCCCGGATCAGCCCTTCCCCTGTTGCCTTGTCCAGGATCACAGCCTCAAAAGGTACCCCAGATCCATGCAGCCGGAAGCCACAGATCTCACCTGGAAAGGCAAGAAGAGAAGAAATGAGACTCCGCATGACCCAGAACATCTCCTTCCAGCCCTCAGCCTCCTCGCCTGCCCCGCTGCACATCTCCTCCCAAACTCCAGCCCCTTGTGTTGATGATGCGAAGCATCCTTGATGCCCAGCTTCCCTGAGCAACACACGCAGAGCCAGCAGGTCTGAGGTCTGCAAAGGCTAATGTGTTAACCCCCGATGCTCAACTCTGACACCCTTCGCTACACCTTCCTCCTTCAGGGCAGCCCACCTCCCTCTTGCACCTCCCTTTCTCTGATGTTTTCCCAGGCCTGTGCCCCGCTTTCCCGCTGCCCCCACTACCAGGATCTCTTGCCTTCTGCCTTCCCGTACTCTTTTCTCAATCCCGCCACTGGAGCCCCAGTTACCTGCATAGTGCAGCGGGGCGTCTTTATCCAAGGCAAAGAGTGGTGGATTCAACAGGACAGTGTTGTCATTCTCCATGACAATGCCCTGGTACTCTGCCTCGATCCACGGCTTGTGCTTGTTGGCTGGCCCCACCCCAAGGAGAAGAGAGAGAGAGTACTTAGGAGCTGAACCTCCACTCCCTGGGTGCAGCTCTTGGTAAGCCTACACCCTAGATCAACACCCTTTCCCTGCTTTGCCACCTTGCAAGAGGGAGAAGGGTTGAGCTACGAAGGACTCAGAGGCTCTATAGGAGGTCATAGCCTTCTGTGTAACCAGATAGGCAGTTTCTGTGGCAACAACCTTCCTGTGGGGAAGGGACCACTATCTCCCCCTGGGGATCATGGCTAGGGGCAGAGAATCTCGTATAAGGTCTTGTTGTCTTGGCAAATGGGACTCAAGAAACAATGGTGGCCCTTAGAAGATCCTGAGAAGGGGTGGGGATGAGTGAAGGGAGAGTAAAACAGGCAGGAATATTCACCAGTTTCCTAGGATCTCAGTGCTTTATCCCCCCACCCCACCCCTACTGAATTTCAACCCTAATCCCTTCACTCTATACTTCTCCAAGTCCAGCCCAGACTTCAGGTCACTCTCCCAGAAAAGGAGAAAGGAGAGCAGTATATAGGACAGCAGCAAGGGGACAGAGGACAGGGAAAGAGCAGAGAAGCCAATGACAAATGACTGGACCAGCAGAGCCAACATCCGCGGGGATTATGGAGCTGGCCTAGAAACACAGCAATCCCGCCTCATTTCCCATCCCCACACCCAAGAGAATGCAGTCATAACCAGCACGTTTCCAGGTCCTCTCAAGACAGCCACACCCCACACTTCCTGAACTCTTCTGCAGACCTATGACTGAATCCTAATTTTCTCCTACCAGACTCTGTCAAGTAGGATCTCTTCCCCAAGACCAATTCCCCTCAAGCTCTGGAGAGGCTACAGGGGAGGCACACGTGTCTCCTCTACCTCATCCCAGACCCAGCCTAACTCCACCGTGCTTCCAAAGCCAGACACAGGGAGGGAAACCGAGTCACCAGAGACCTCTCACTCCAGGTTCTCATGACACAAGAAATTCTGATTCCCATTCACTCCTCTAACCACAGCCCAGCAAATGTCCTGGAAACTGCAGGCCTCGCCATGTCATGATGGTCACCGCCATAGCACCCTTCCTTAATGGCCGAAGAGAAAGCCTCAAGGTGGTACATAGGAGGCTAAGCAGGAAGTGACAGAAGGCTCGAGAGCCAGGAGGACCATCCTGAGGTAGGAGCTTCAGCCAGACATAGAAGACAACAGACAGAGTAGCCAGGGACAGAGCCAGGCACCCTGCAACATTGTGTGACTCAGGGTCCCTGCGCCCTCTCCCTCCTCTGTGGCTGCCTCCTGTCCTGTGTCCATCTTCTCTTCTTCCCCTCTCTCACTGGCTCTTTCTTGGCTCCCTCCCCCCCCCTACTTCTCACTTCCTGCTGATTTTCCTCCCTCCTTGCCTGTCTCTGCCTTTCCCCTTTCCCATCCCCTTCTTATTCCCTTTCCACTCCTCACACTCCTCATCTCCCTTCTCGCCTCTTTCCTGGAGCACCCCACACCCCTTCCCACCTTTCCTCCCTCCCCTCTGCCTACCTGAACCCTCTGCCTCCGGCCCCACCCTCCCCCTCCCCCTGACAGTCTCACCCAGCTGAATTTATCTGCTGTCTGCCAGAGAGGGCAGCTGTGGTCACCCACCACCCAGCGGACGCAGGGAGAAGGGTATGGATGCAGAGGGACACGAAAAAAACATACGTGCTCAGAATTGCTGAGCTGCGGTACACAGTTTCTCCCCAGGAAGGGATGGAGACAGCCAGATGTATCTGCCACACACCCTTAGCGTGCACACCCAGTGAAAAGGAAGCTGACGGAACGTCACCCTCGGGGCGCAAGTTCCTTTGAGACAGGAGGTGGCTACCAGCATGGAGGAGTTGGGGGAGGGGGCACAGAGACCCCAGGTGGGAATGGAGACCAAATACAAGCAAACGCAGGCACAGATGGATCAGAGAGGAGGAGGTGGCCCTTGGAAGTGACATGGGTGAAGGGAACAGGTCTGAGCAAAAGGATGGAAGGAGGAAGCCAGAAAGGAAAGGACACCTGTCACGCGCCAGAGTCTCAACGTCTCCTTCCCTCCAAGCCCCACACTGCGCAGCCCGGCGCCCCAGTTCAGATGCCCCCCATCGCGGTCTGTCTCACCTTTGTTGCCAGAGCTGAGCTGGAGCAGAGAGGCCAGCAAGAGGGACAGCAGCAGGAGAGTCATGGTGCGGTGTAAAGCACACCAGGCCGGGCGTTCCTGTCCCCTGGGAGCCTCAAGCCTGCTAATGCCACCTTGGGGGAGGGATGCGGAGACTCCGCAAGGAGGGGAGGGCAGCGGGACAAAATCAGGAAGGAGCCTGCTGACCACGCTAGTCCATGCGACAGAGGCGTGCAGACCCGCTGGGTGGCCCAGATGGGGGACTTGCAGTAGCTTCTCTTCGCTCTCCAGCCCAGCGTCCTCACTCTCGCTCTCTCTCGCTCTCTCTCACTCACTCCCACCCCATCCCCGCTACTGCAGGATGACATCAGCACAGCCAGGCAAGGATTGATGGGGCCGCTGGCCAATTGGAAGACTGGGGGCGCCAGGTGCTGCAAGAGGGGGGGTAGGGAATCAATGCGAGTGGGGAGCAGGGGCGGGAGAATGTGTTAGGCTTTTTCCCCTGGCTGCAGTTTGGAGGAGCAGAGAACTGCGGGGGCTGGAGAGGAAGCTGGAAAGCCATGGAGGGGGGAGAAGGTAAGGGGGACATCGGAAGACCTAGCTGAAAGCCCGGAGGTGGGGTGAGATCAGGAGACGTCAACAGACTTGCGGGTGGCCAAGAGAGGCAGTGTTCACGTCACCCACCCCCAATTCTGCATTAACCTCTTTTCACAGCCCGTTCCATCAGCTAGTCCCTGCTGTGTGCTTTCTGGGAACCAGCATGAACACGAGATATTCTAGCTTTTCAGTTTCAACCCAGGGCCCCGTGGGAGCCAGAGAAGGGGCGATGAGATGAGGGAGGACTCCCTGCACCCCTTTCTGCATAGTTCACCAGCGTCTGGGATGTTAAGCTCTCTTTCCTACTGCCTACAGTCCCTGACTTCCCGACCTTAAACCTTAAACCATGATGGAGCCGCCCTACAGCTTGTGAAGCCAAAGACAGGAGTGTTGGCCAGTTTGGGAGAGTAGTGGGCAGCTGGGGGCAGGGTATACAAGGATTTCAGTAGCTCCCAAGCCATTGTGATGCTGTGTCTTCATAAAGATTGGCGGGTGGCGGTATCCAGGACTCAGAACTGAGAGGGGAACCCAGGGTTTTACCAAAGAGTGTAAAATCCTGAGCCCTCCCTGCCTCCTCTTGAACTCACCACTCAGGAGCTTCAGCCACTCTCTCTTCATTCCTCTCACAGGCCTTGAAGACCATGAACACCAGTTTAAGGACCACATCAGCCAACTGTGAGGGAACTGTGTTGGCCCCTGGCCTTTCTTAAACGCGTCTCCTGGCTATGGGCTGTCCTTACCTCCTTCCCTCACACCTCTAAATAACCTGAAATATCCCCCTCACACCCCGACGCAAAGACTAAAGCTAGAATTCCTCGTAACTGCTCCACTCTGCCATACCACACAGGGCCTCCAGAGGGAGCCCTCCTCAGGGTTCCCAAACCTGCCGGAAATGGCCAAAACTGACACTTGGGAAGAAAGTTCAAGTTTTGAATGACTGACAGCTCCAAGGTCATTGCACAGGAAAAGCGGAGGCCAGGCATGACTTTGTCAGGTGCCTGACTCTCCTCAGGCTGCAGACACCAGACCAGAACTCATCACTTGGGGGAGAGGGGTTGCGGGGGTAGTGGGAAACCTCTCACTGCCACAACCGCCAGCCCTGTAAAAGCCCTGGTTAACCGAAGCTTACCACCCTGTGTGGAGGCTGATCTGGAGTCTGTGAGCCTCTCCTTCCAGACCGCACCCGACCTAACCCTCAGTCTCTTCCAGTCTACACTGAAAATAACGTCTCCCAACCTGTTCCAGAACCTGGGGGTCCTCAGTAATGACCTCATCCTTTCAGACTCCTTTTACTCCCCTTCCTCCCACCCTCTTCCTCCTCTATGCCCTGCTGAAAAGCCACGTCAGTGCAGAACAACACCCTGCCCGCCTGAGGGATTAGGATCCATTTCCCTCTGAAGCGCTGCCCCTTCACAGCCTTGACAGAGCTGTTGCAGGCAGCAAGCACCTGACTAGCCAGCAGAGCCCTCGTAAGATTCAACCCCCCACAGACATCAGTGTGGCCCTGAGGAAGGCAGTAAGGCTGAGGTCGGGTAAGATCACCCACCAGCATAACCGCATAATGGGGAAGCCTCTTGGCTCTGGGCACACATTATGGAATTTGAGACTTTGAGAAGGATCTAAGGACGAAAATGCCAGGTACTGGAGAATCTTCTGGGGCTTTGCCTGCTGTAGTGCGACCCACTGCCGGGAGCTTTGAGGTGAGCTCCGAGTCCACGCCATGCCTCAGGACATGGAGGAAAAGGTGCAGGGCGGGGAGACGTTGGAAGTCACTAGAGACACAGCACCCTTCAGCTATAGGACAAAAGGAGGTAGCTGCCGTGTCGTCCAAACTCAGCTTGACCCAGCAGGGACCAAGGGAGAGATTGTACATTGTCTCGTTCACCGTTATGAGTCTGGAGCCATCAGTATCACCGATGTTTCCTTGCCCGTAACAGCCAGTGGCAGCATAGATCGTGAGCCTCCACTGGTTTGTGGTGTTCCACGAAGCACGGACATCCTCAGGGTCTCTAGCAGCAGCATGGGCCATGGACCACAGATGTCAACACGGCCTTAGGTAGCAGCACAGGCCGCACACATCAAGATGGCCTCTGGTGGCCAAATGGACCACAGACAAGAACATGGCCTCTCATGGTAACATGGACAACATGGCTTCTCGTGGGAGCATGGACCTCTAACATTTCCTTCTACTCTCCCATATCTACCAGTCACTACGAACTTCTTCGATTTTTCACAAATGATTATCATTTATCTATTTGCTTTTAGAGCAAGATGTCAGGCAGGTATCTTAGTTGCATCTTCTATTGCTTTGATGAAGCACCATGCCCAAAAACAAGCTGGTGAGGAAGTAGCTTATTTGACTTACACTTCCATGTCCCTGTTTGTCACTGAAGGTCGGAACAGGAAAGAAACAGGGCATGCACCTAGAGGCAGGAGCTGACGCAGAGACCACAGAGAGATGATGCTTACTGTAGTGCTCCCCATGCCCTGCCAGCCTGCTTTATTGAACCCAGGAAAACTGGCCCACTCTCAATGGGCTGGGCCATACCCCTTCAATCAGTAATTAAGAAAATGCATTACAGGCCCGATGTGGGATGTCCTGTATGCTGTGAATATGTGTTGCTTTTATTGGTTGACGAATACAGCTGCTTTGGCCCATGGCAGGGCAGAATACAGCTAGACCAGAAATCCAAGCAGAGATACAGAGAGAAAGAAGGCAGACTTGAGAGAAGATGCAAGCATCCACTGAGGAGGCAAGACATGTAGAAAATGAGGTAATGCCACGGCCACGTAGCAATATATAGATTAATAGAAATGGGTTAATTTAAATGTAAGAGCTAGCTAGTAATAAGCCAAAGCCATAGGCCAGACCATTATAATTAATATTAAGCCTCTGAGTGATTATAAGTGGCTGTGGGACTGCCAGGCAGGACAGAAGGACTCTGGCTACAAATGGTGTCCAAGGTTAGACTCTTGAGTTTCTATAAGGCCTATTTAAAGCTTATAAAAGGGCTTCTAGACACACAATAATGGAGCCAAAAACAGTTCGTAGTTGATGTCTGTTATTGTGGGCCATAGTGCAGAACTGCATCCCCAGCTGCAGCATGGTGGACTCTGAGGTCTTTCACAGCCACGGTACAAAAAGGCTCCTCCCAGCATGGCCTGCAGGCCTGAGAGCACAGCTGAGGGGCTAAGAGTCCAGCCACATGCTGTATGGTGGGCTCCTGAGGCTGTTTCACGGGCCACTGTAAAGAGGCTTCTCCCAGCTGCTATCTACAGGAGGTAAGCGTGATGCTCACTGCCAACTTTGCCATGCTGGAAAGCCTAATGGGGTGGAGCCAGCAGCCAAAGCTGCCACTTTAGTCCTAGTCATGTCTGCTTAGCAGTTTAAAGCAATGATCCGAAAAGGATTACAATAAAGAGAGATTCAGACAAAAAGAAATTACTGAATGGGTCACAGTATGTTTTAAAAATGTACATAGGCTTGAGAGAGGAAAAATGATAGAGACATAGATTAAAAGAACAATATAGAAATAGAGTAATAAAAATTATAATGAGCCACATAAAGATGAACATACACAGAGAGTCTGGATTTTGTATATTTATGTTTTCTTTCAATTTATTGACTTAATGGGCTAGCTGATGAGAGGCATGTGGTAATTGGACTACTAAGTCAAACCAACATGTTGTATGATTGGTCCATCTCAACCAGAATCCTTGAAACTGCTGTGGATGTTCAATGACCTGGGTCATTGTTCCCATTGGAGACCTTTCAGGGGATCTTGTTCAACCAAACCATATTAACCTGGAAGGAACCCATAGCTTCTCATCTTCTGTGGAAACAAAAGCAGAACCTCTTTTGCAAAGCAATATATCCTTAGACTTAACTTTTAAAGTTAAGATAAATTTAAATGATAATGTTGGGTGACTGTCCAGGCAGCCAGATGTCTCTGTCATTTCTAGAGTTTTGGAAGATGCTTACAATGCACTTCCTGTTTACTTACGTAATATTATATCCTTCTGGGGTCTTTGATGGAATTGAATACTAGACAGTTATAATTAAAGCTTTCCTTGTTTATGATAGACAATAATTTAGATATAAAATTTTAGGTTCACAAAGATAGGATAGATGATAGAGTATTTTCTTTAATTTTGCCAAATATAAACAAACTAAATATTATAACTGTAATTCTTGCTTGATACCTGTTTTGCTATCTGTAATTTTACAATGTTAAAGCTGAAAACTACCTTTTAAATTAGACAGAAAAGAAAAAATGATGTGGGATGTCCTTCTGTATTCTGTGACTGTGGGATGTCCTTCTGTATTCTGTGAATGTGGGATGTCCTTCTGTATTCTGTGACTGTGGGATGTCCTTCTGTATTCTATGAATGTGGGATGTCCTTCTGTATTCTGTGACTGTGGGATGTCCTTCTGTATTCTGTGACTGTGGGATGTCCTTCTGTATTCTGTGACTGTGGGATGTCCTTCTGTATTCTGTGACTGTGGGATGTCCTTCTGTATTCTGTGACTGTGGGATGTCCTTCTGTATTCTGTGACTGTGGGATGTCCTTCTGTATTCTATGAATGTGGGATGTCCTTCTGTATTCTGTGACTGTGGGATGTCCTTCTGTATTCTGTGACTGTGGGATGTCCTTCTGTATTCTGTGACTGTGGGATGTCCTTCTGTATTCTGTGACTGTGGGATGTCCTTCTGTATTCTGTGACTGTGGGATGTCCTTCTGTATTCTGTGACTGTGGGATGTCCTTCTGTATTCTGTGACTGTGGGATGTCCTTCTGTATTCTGTGACTGTGGGATGTCCTTCTGTATTCTGTGACTGTGGGATGTCCTTCTGTATTCTGTGACTGTGTTGCTTTTTATTGGTTGATAAATAAAGCTGCTTTGGCTTATGGTGGGGTAGAACATAGCCAGGTGTGAAATCCAAGCAGAGAGACAGGGAGAAAGAAGGCATTGTTGAGAGAAGACACCAGCATCCACTGAGGAAACAAGACATGTAGAAAATGAGGTAACTCCTTGGCCATATGGCAATACATAGATTAATGAAAATGGGTTAATTTAAATGTAAAAGCTAGCTAGTAATAAGCCTAAGTCATAGGCCAAACAATTATAGAGAGAAAAGGAAGGAAGGAACGAAGGAAGGAGGGAGGGAAGAAGGAAGGAAGGAAGGAAGGAAGGAAGGAAGGAAGGAAGGAAGGAAGGAAGGAAGGAAGGAAGGAAAATGCCAGGTACTTTCCCTTGGACAGGGTAGATGAGCAGGTACCTCCTAACAACGTGAGCCAGGAAAGCAGCCCCTCCAGCCCAAGCCGGGGACAAAGACAAGCAAAGCAGGCATGGGATCCCCAAATAGCAGTCTCTGGGGCCAACAAGCTCCTGCGCTCCCCAACTCCTTCCCACTTCTTCCTTACTCCTCTTACGTTTGTGATAGAAGAGTTTGATTAGTTTACTTTTTCTTTTAATTTTTTAAATTTCCTCCTTTGATTATTTTTCATGTAGATGGCTGTTTTACCTGCACATATCTGTGCACACCACACCTGGTGCCTGAGGTCAGAAGAGGGTATCAGGTTCCCTGGCACTGGAGTTACAGACAGTTGTGAACTGTCATGTGGGTGCTGGGAATTGAACTTGTGTCCTCTGGATGAACAGAGAGTGCTCTTGACCTCTAAGCCATCTGTCTCTCCAGTCTCTCCCTTGCCCCTTCTCAACATCAGTCACCAGAATCAAAAGTGCAGGCCAATGAGCAAACATCTGTTCATCCCGGAGCCTGTGACACTGGGTCTCTGGGTCTGTCTGCCTTTACCTCCTGTGACTGACACTGGGTCTCTGGGTCTGCCTTTACCTCCTGTGACTGACACTGGGTCTCTGGGTCTGCCTTTACCTCCTTAGCCACAGTTTCCTGACATTTTGCCTTCCTAGTCTTCTTTGCAGACGGAGTCCCCTAGCAATCCTGACACCAGGGCCCCAGCTGGATTTTGCTCTTGGCTGTCTTCCTCTTGCCTGTACTCTCTGGGCCCAGTCAACTGCACCCACGCTCTCCGCTGCCATCTGTAAACTGCCCTTGACATTTGTTCCCCAGCCACAGCCGTCGCTGGAGCCCGAGTGAAGTTCTCAATTGTCTGTGTTTGTGTGCCCAAGGTCAAGTCTGAATTCATTGTCTTCTGGGGCCCAAAGTTCCTCTACTTTTGTGTTTACTGTGTCTGTGGATGTCCCTTGTTCCCTTACTGCCACGTCCCCTCCCCTCCCCAAACCACATCCAGAATAACTTTCTGCACTAGCCAACATGGTAGCTATTTGGCATGCAGTCAGTCCAAATGGAAATGTGCTAAGTGTAAAATACATACCACATTGTAAAATAGTATCAAAAACATGCCCAGTTTCCTTATTGTTGAAAATTACAGTATTTTGAATAGTTTATATTACACAAAACACATTCCTAAAGTTAAATGTACTTGTTTCTCTTCTGTCTTCTAGCAGGTCTTCCTAGGATGTCTTACGTATGTGGCTTACATTTCTGTTTATTTCTATTGTATGTGGCTGGCATTTCTGTTTATTTCTATTGTATGTGGCTTGCATTTCTGTTTATTTCTATTGTATGTGGCTTGCATTTCTGTTTATTTCTATTGTATGTGGCTTGCATTTCTGTTTATTTCTATTGTATGTGGCTTGCATTTCTGTTTATTTCTATTGTATGTGGCTTGCATTTCTGTTTATTTCTATTGTATGTGGCTTGCATTTCTGTTTATTTCTATTGTATGACTCTCTGCTAAGTGTCTGCTGCTGTCCCTTCCTTCCTAAGTGAGGCCCTTGCTTCTCACCTGCCCCAAAATGGTCCCCAGTCTTAATCCTCCCTTAGCCAGGCTGCACAACCTGGAGCTGCAGGGTCTATCTAAAGAGTAAAAGTGACCATGTCCTTCCCAGCGATGACTCATTCCACTCCAGATCAATGTATCCCTGTGACCTCCAGGAGCATCTGCCTACCTTCCGGCTTCTGTGCTTTTTCTATCCTTGCTTGAAATTCTCCATCATGAGCCATGCCTAGTGACACGGGCTTGTAATATTTGCAGGCTGAGGAAGGAGGACTGATTGCAAGTTCAAGGCCCCTCCAAAGCATCGAGCAATGTCTGGAAGATGCTGTCCCCATCTTCACCACCCGGCTCCCCAGATTCACCCTCAGTTACCCTGCCCCTCCTCTGCTCTCCTCACGGTCGCTGTAGATAACTCAGCCCCCAAATCTCAGGTCTTTGTGATTGGGGGAGGGGAGTCCTGTATCAGAGCATCTCTCAGAAGAAATGGGCTACAGAAGTCACAGTGGGTTTGTGTCCTGTCTCCAATTTCTCCTTCATCCCGCCTTTCCCTATGGATTATAGTCACCTGGGAGGAGGAGCCACTGGTAGGTACGGGCACATAAAAGGGAGGTTCCCAAGTGGGACTGACATAAAAGGGAGGTTCCCAAGTGGGACTGGCATAAAAGGGAGGTTCCCACGTGGGGCTGGAGATGCTGGTTAGAGGGAGAGAAGCTGGGGAGGGGACACAAACAAGCGTGTCTGGGAACAATCCCGCCAGTGAGGTTGTATCCCCTTGACCACACCTAGAAAGTTCACTGCTCCACCCCACCGTACCCTGCCCAAGAGGGTGGGTAAGAGCCAAAGCACTTAGAGGAAGTTTAGAGAGGAAGACACAGAGTGATCAGGAGGGCCCTGGCTACACTTCCACGATTGTCCATAAATCCCACTGGAGAGCTGGAGACCGCCATTCCATTTCCCTGGCCCAGCAGCCTTCTGTTGTGGGATAATATTTTGGCACACTGTGAAGATGCTTCTTTGCCTTGGTGTCTTCTGCTTGGTTTAATGAAGAGCTGAATGGCCAATAGCTAGGCAGGAGAGGATAGGCGGGATTTCCAGGGAGACAAAGGAAGAGGAGCATGGAGACACCAGCCAGACACAGATCAAGTCGAACATAGAGAATGGGGAAGTTAAAAAAAAAAAAAGAAAAGCCACATGGCAAAGTGTAGATTAACAGAAGCAGGTTAATTTAAGTTATAAGAGATAGTTGGGGATAAGCCTAACCTAAAGGCCACGCTTTCTTAGTTAATATCTCCATGTCATTATTTGAGGGCTGGTGGTCCCACAAAGAAAAGTCCTCTACAACCTTCATTTTCCAGGAAAAGATGAAGATTTGCAACACTGGTACAATCCCCACTTTTCAAATGCCATAGCGGCCATTTCCTGGAGGATTAATGGAAGTCAAGGGCTTTGAAAGGGAGTGAACTGCCACTGACCAGACCTTTCTCTCCCTATTCCCCCGCATCTCTCATGTGTCTGTCCCAGGAACTGACTGTGAGGGTCTTCAGGAAGGTTCCATAGCCAACGACCTCAATCCAGACCTGGATTCAGCCCAGACCCTGCCAGGTCAGGATCTTAGCTGGACCACTGACTCTCTCTCAGTCCCTCCTCACCCTCCCCGTGGTTAATCTGTAGCCTGTAGTCCCCAGCCAGAGCCCTTTCTTTTTTATTTCTCACTGACCAACAGTGACCACCACCCACTGCCAGGACAAGCTCTGATCTCCCAGGTGACAGAGGCAGACAGGGAAAAAATGACCACTCTCTGTTCTCTCCACCTCATTTGGCCCCTGGCTCTCCTTCTAAGAGAGAACTAAGCCATTGGGGGAAGGGGGCCCAACGGTAGTGAAAATGCTATTGTGAGGGACCCTCTAGGAATCTGTGGCTGGGTTCAGGAGTTCAACCAAAAGCATCTGGTACAATATCTTTTGTGGCTTTGTTTTGTTTGGGGGCGCACAGGTGTGTGTGTGTGTGTGTGTGTGTGTGTGTGTGTGTGTGTGTGTGTGTGTGTGTGTGTTCCAGTCCATGAGGTCAGAGGGCAACTTTCAGGATTCAGCTCTTTGTCTCCAGCATGTGAGTCTCGGAGGGTCCTCAGGCTTATCCTATGAGCAGTTTCGATGGGGCCCTGGCAGAGTCTGCTCATTTGTCTTCATTGCTCAGAAAATCTTACATGTTCACCAGAACAAGATCCAAAGCCATGCTCACAGAGACCCACAGACTCACCTCATCCATAGCTGAGGACATGCATGCCCCACGCAAGGCTTGTACAGCCCTGGTGGAAGCCACAAGCTTCCCTTGACCTCCATGGCTATGTGGGGAACCCTGGAGCAGCAAGGGGGCCTGAGGTAGAGGAGGAGATAGCAAACACAGGGTTGGGGACAGAGCCACATGTTACGTTTGGGTTGGAAGTAACAGTATGGA